TGATATTCGGAATCAGCATCGTCGACTACCTATAGTCCACTCGGTTTCGTTGAAAAAGCGATTTATCAGTTGGGGTACTTCCCTCGTCAGTTGTATCATGAAATTCTTCTAAAATGCTTCATTATCGACTAATATTCCAAAAGATGCATAAACGTATGATGAAAAAATATTTTCTAGAAGAACAGTTTATTTGATAGTTAAAATGAACAAAAAGGTAATCTCACCGTTTTTTTCACACTGTTCGACTATTGACCCACATAATTTTACTAGACAAGACTAAAATTCACAATATAAGCAATTCTTTTACAGACTGCTTATTAACAGAAAAATGATAATATCGGATATTCATAACAAGAAAAAAACAGTATAGATCGGTAGCAAGAATTGTTTACTAAAATACAAAAACAAAATTACAAAAAAACTATTACAGAAAAACAAAAAACAGATCAACAAGTTAACAATTTTTCTAATAGTCTATACAAAATAATGCATATATTCAACTCGATGAGTAGATAATAATACGTATGTAAAATTTTGTTTCATTCTATTTCATTTGTTGTCTTGATGATTCTTTTTTTTTCAAGTCGTCTTGAACAGGTTTTTCAAATAAATCACTTGTAGCATTTCGAAATATCTCTTTTATCGATGGATATTTGACTTTTTCATCTGTTATATTTACTCCAAATGCTTTCGAAAAAAAATCATTCAATTTAGATTTATCTTTATCCTGATGTTTTGATTTCGATTGTTTGGATAAATTAATTGTCGTATTTTCTGCTCTGAAAAACAAAACAAAAACCTATCTAATATGAAATGGGTACAATGACTGGTAACTATTTACTTGACCGCAGTTGATATTGGCATTGATTTGTAAAGAAATTGTTCAATATCATCAGTGACTTGTACTGATCTTTCCTTTAATAATTCAACATGATCACATGAATATTGTTTATAAACTATCGTTGACATCTTATCTAATAAAAAATAAGAATATTTTATGTAATACGAAATAAGAAATAATTTATCTTCTTACTCTGTAAATTTTAGAAGATAAGAGTCAATATCTAAGCTTGATGATAAAGTTCTGATGTACAAAATTTTTCTTGCTTGTTGTTAACCAAAACTTCACAAAACATCAAAAGTAGAGGCGAGAGATCCTTGAAAATTTGTAGTAGATTTGGGAAAAAACTTTCT